TGCAATAGCTCTATCTTGATATTTCACTCGGCACAGGTGGTACGCTGTGCGGCAATATCTACTGCGTGCACGGAGGTTGCTTTTATGGCAGTATGCATATGAGTATATTTGGTTACTTATACCCCTGTAATTGTGATGATGGATGGTATGGCCAGCACTGTGATCAACAAATATCAACGGGTATTATTTTTGTTATTTCAATGTCGTAAAAACAAATGTAATATTTAGATAAATGTTCATAACTGAGGGGAAATTGGATTAATATGACATGGATGGTCATTTAAATTAATAAAATAAAGCCATAATGAGATATACGAGAACATTATTTATATTCAAACTGCATGTCTCCGGATGAGTCAAAATCCATCAAGAAAAGTAAGATTTTAAGAAAAGTAAAATTTTCACAATTCAAGTAATGATTGACGTATTATATGCAATGAATGATTGATCTTACAGTATTTATAACCCTATTTCTACTGTGTGACTATCTCAGTAAGGGCATTTTCCTCATGCAGTATTTTGACCTTTAATTTTTTATTTACTTGGATTGAACGTGCCGTTTGCAACGTGTAAATTACTTTCTTTGTTAACTTGACAATATTTTATTCTTTAATACAATTTTCAAAGTTTTCATGAAAATCAGCATGAAGCTGGATGCGTGCTGCTTTAACGGGACGAATGTAGATAAATGATAGGAATGTAGATAGATAAATGTGGGATAAATATAAAGATAAAATATCTTCTGTTTTCTGAAAATCTCTTAGCAAAAACAACAAAAAAGACGACGACAACAACAACTACTACGACTACAACATCCACAGTAGCACCGACAACACCCGTGCCGACCACGCCCTTACCGACCACAAGCGCTCCACCTACCGGTATTAAATCTAAATCACCTAGTAAACAACAAATCACTGTCTTTAAATGTCAAGATTTAAACAGTATAGGAATACAGTGATTTAAATTGACACCACTTTGATTTTTTGCTGCCTATTTTAAGATGATAATCAAAATCGCGGGGTATTCTTAGGTGTTTGTATCAAAAATGAAATATCATTTATTTGACTAAAAAGTTACATTTCTAAGATACTGATGTAACAATGTTTATTATAAGTAATAGTATTGGAGCCTTCTTCCACTATCTAGAACGCTATTTGGACAAACATGTAAATTCAAAGGTTATTTGTACTAATTTGCATATTGTTTTATGAATAGTCATAGTCGCCGATAAAAAGGATACTGTTTCAGACAAATGAAATTTACACTATAGAGAATAGAAAAGATGACTACTATGCATGAGTGGAAAAAGGGTAACGTTGCAAATGACTTTGTTCCACATCTACAAAGCTTGCTGGTTATCAAAAAAAAAATGTTGAATTCAGTTGCATTCAGTTGAATTCAGTTGATCACTTTCGATTTAATGATATACATGTCATATCAAATCAACTTTTCTCACGCGCTCAGCTCCAAAAAGTTTTTTAAAAGTTGTTGACTAGTGATAACTACGGTGGCACAAAGGTGACATGTGTGTGTTTTTTATTTATGAAGTGCGCACGAAATACTATGTCGTGGCCACCAATTACTAAGTAATGGCCACGAGTTACTAAATCGTGGTAGTGGGAACAAGATACTATGTCGTAGCCACGAGTTACTAAGTTGTGGGCACCAGATAGTTAAATCGTGGTAAAGAGATACTATGTCGAGGCCACGAGTTACTAAGTCGTTGCCACGAGTTACTTAGTCGTGGGCACGAGATAACTAAATCGTGCGCACGAGATAATTAACCAATCAAATTACATATTTTTATTTGGTACGGACATTGCCCATGGACAGTAGATAGCCTATAAGGATGTTTGAGGTCAAAGGTCAAGGTTACTTTGACACTTCATATAAAATCCTTGTCTGATGAATAATTTAGAAGGAATAAGCCATGGTTTATATAACCTAGAAAGATCATTGCACCTGATCAGTAGATGACACCTAATAATTTTAAGGTCATTGTGTCAAAAATCAGGGTGACAATGACGATCAATGTAAAATCATTATATAGATAATAGCATTTTTACAGGCAGGTGAAATAAAGGCATCCGTGTACTATAGAACATGTCTAGTTAATTACGAAAATTCATATAAATAGTGTAATCTGATTGGTTATCTATCTCGTGCGCACGACTTAATTATCTCGTTCCTTCCCACGACTTATAGTAACTCGTGGCCACGACATAGTATCTCGTGCCCACGAGATAAATAAAAACACACACGTCACCTTTGTGCCACCGTAGATAACTGTTTATAGGCGGTCAGTTACTTTTTTATTATACCTGAGACCATACCATGTTTTTTTTACGGACAGATAATTATTATGACCACGACAATGATATCAATTAAAGTGAAACAATAAACATAAATGAAACTTTCAATCGTTGTGAACAATAAAAATATCAATAAACATATCAAGTTTAATAATCAAGGTAACTTTATTTCTTTATATTCAAACCAAATCGAACCTGTTTAACGGAGTTTCCGTACTATTTTCCTTGACACTGTTAAATCATACAAACTGATTATTATAAAGACATTTAAAATAATGGTTGAAACTCCATATGCAAAACATCATATTTGAAAATTATGTATATCTATTTTCAATAAACATGTAATCCGGATTCTCCCGTAACACCTTATTTCGTACGCGAAAGTGGCGTAGAGCTAAAGCATGGCATATACATACCTTAATAGTAACTTAGAATCATTGTGCAATTTATGGCACAGTCTTTGAATCAGTTATGATTGCATTAAAATGTGTACATATAATTTAATCTCTGAGCATAAATGACACCGGAAAGTGGACAAGGTTTGCTTTTAATTCCCGAAACTTCTGAGCCAACTTGATAATGTTCGTCAAAGTTATTATTTTTTAATTGTATTTTTACTTTAGTTTATCTTGATTTACAAACAAATAACATTACATGAACAGAACACTTCAATATAAAGTACAAAAAAGTACTGAGATATGTTTTTTCCATGTTTTAGCGGCACCAATTTTCTATCGCTGTAACCACGTCAGCACCATTGCTTATCAAACTCCTGTTTCTAACCCAAACGCTTCAATATGTGCGCGAGGACAGCACACATCTCACGAAGCGTTTGTTCTCACGGAATGCGATGTACCTACAACTCCAGCCACATGGAAACAGGGTGTCAACGTGCGTTATTGTTTTTCACGAATGGTTGCTCGTTTTCAGTTTTTGAAAGATATTAAACACACAAAGGGTTGCTTTTTAAAACTATAATACAAATCTATATTCTAACAATACCTAAATTATCTTCCTTCTTATATCTGTTTACTTTAAAGATAAAAAAATCACTTCTGAGACAGACTCTCGATTGTGGCGAATTCATCCGATCCATTTATTTGTTTTAATCAGTTGAATCATTCTCCAATTCAAAACAGATTATCATGGCCTTTGCGTAAATAAGAGAAAGAAATAACGAATAAGTTTACAGATTTTACATGGGTGCTGTAGTTGTTGATAAAAACCAAAAAGGTCGGATCACAAGCTTAAACAACGATAGAGAGTTGGCTCATTCATTTTTTTTGGATATTACATTATTTAGTTTAAAAAGCTGCAAACTTAAATACATACATTACAACTTGTATACCAATCTGTTGTCAAAGTGTCATATTTTAAATATTCAGGTAATGTCACGCTGTGCAAGCTCGAATCCTATACCATACGACACCCCTATAGCAAGCTTTGACCACGGACTTTATTCGTCAGTTGGCAGTCTCTCAGGGGTGTTTCTCGGATGTACAAGTGATGGGTTCCAGGTAAGCATTTAATAAATGTTCTTATGAATTCGAGCAACTTCGTTAAGGCACTTTACAGCTATTTTATGTAAGTATAAGTTAGCTTTTTCCATCTTTTCATTTGTCTTTCTGTTTGATGTACATTATATCTGTATTGCATTGATTAAAATTGAGAAATGAATTAAGTAGCAAAACGTGATCTTGCCAAATCATAGTTAATGTTGTCACGGGAAATATAAGACTATCTGACTTGAAATGTCATCATGGTAAAGTGATAACACGTACCCTTGTGGCTGAGAGTTTGCCTTTAAGGGTTAAGACATTTAATTTGCAGATACCCGTTATCCCTGCGCGACTAAATTGTTTTGAATTACTGGAGTCTTTACATCTCTTAGCTCCAGCAGGTGAGGTGTTTTGACCCCTGGTGTTGCTTTAAGTTTGTAACACACGAGGTAAGCCAAACCATCTTTCCTGTTTCGGCCTTAGTTGCGCCTTAAACACAAACAAACAAACATGATAAAGCGCCAGAAATAAATATATTGTTCTTTCAATAGAATGGGCAAACATGTGTTCTACAATTTTATTTTAATTCTAAGACGCAAAAGTTGGTTCAGCTATATAGGTCAATGAGTAAAATTTTGGGAAATGTGATAAAACACCAATAATAAAAATGTCTTTGAAAAGAATTCTTAGCATTTTTAGATTCAATGTCCTTTATAAGGAATATAAACTATAAAAAATATGTTTGTATATTTTGTAAATTAAGTTATATGATTTATCTAACAATTAGCCTCGCTACAGAATCTAGCACTGCTAACAGTACAGACCAGGATCACAAGATCAGCGGGCTCATTCATTCCATCTGATCATAGTCTGCACTGCTCGCTAATCGGTCAATACATATTTGGAAAATAATGAAAAATATCATTGAACGATGGACAAGTCCAATAAAGATGTTTAAAATGGTTATTATAATAAATGCTTTCCATCAATTATAATTATAGATTGCGTTCCAAACATGCGGTCGGGCGCCTGAAATAACCGAACTTCAGCTAGGAGATCTCTTTAGCCAGACTTCAATCAATTACTTCACAATATCTTAAATTCCTGAAATGAATTTATATTGCATAAAAATCTGCTGTGTAATTCAATTATTCTATATATGTTCCATTCAAAGAGTAAGGCTAAAATTTGTTGATTCATGTGTTGTTTTTCTTAGTTTAATAATATTTTTATTGTATAAATATACACACAATATACAATTTCATAATTTTACAGACATAATCAAGTGTACATACAAAAGGATTGGGCCAAAAGTTCTAACAACATTATCGTGGGCCCTTCCCTGAGGCTAGTCAGAAATAAGTTTATACTATTTGAATAAAGTTGTGTGATATCAAATAATTATCAATTTCAGTTTTAAGTAATTTTTTAAGGAACTAATTTTCATGAACTAATTTTAACAAATGTTTTATATGTAAATATAAATAAATCAAATGAACATTTAATAGAGAAAAAAATATATGTATATATATGTTGTTTTTCAAGGATCGAGGTGTTTATATAAACATGTACCCTCTTCAAACATACAAACTTTGATAATTTACAGGATTATGCTATACTGTCTGCAACACAGCATTTCACATCCTTGTCACAATCTAGACTTGGCATATCTTTTATGCATTGTCGCAATGACTGACTCTTAAGAAGCACTTACCGCTAACTGTCACACTATTGCCGCTGAATGTCGCACCCGCCGCTAAAATGTCTCAAATGTTTTTTGCCGTTAAATGTAGCAATAGTGACATTAAATATTGCATCATTTCCCATTTACCGTTTTTTAAACGTCGCAACACGACCGTTCAATCTCGCAATCACCAAATATATGTTCAACAACTTGTATTAAAACGTTATTCGTAAGTATGTTATTTGACCCCGTGTTCACTTAATTACAAAAGATCAATATTTTATGATCATTGTTTAATTTATCAAAACAATGTTGATCGTATTTTCCTTAAATTAAATGGTACAGAATCAAGCCTATTTCGGGATGATATTAGCAAATAACAAAGAAATTTTATACAAAACTAATCAGATAATAATCAGGATTAATTTTAGGATCAGGATCAATATTTGGATCAACTGTAAAATGCCCATTTCATTTTTGATGAGCGTCAATTTGGTATATAGAACAAACTACCTACTAGCTGGTAGATGGTTATTGGTAATTCCGAACTATTTAACAAGTGATAGTTGGTAATTCAATCCATTACTACCAGCATGAAATGTTCGAACACATCATACTTTTTTAAACACAGAATAAAGGAATGGACTCAGTTGGTTACACGCGCGAAACCACAACTACCTACCAGAAGGTAGTTGGTAATTCAAACTTAGAATTTTCCCCTCAAAACAGAAAGTATTTTTCCGGAATTAATATAGAATCAAGAAATTGTTTTGATATGTTGTTTAGAAGCATAAAGTATTTTAATATAATCAGCATTTTCTATTCCGTAAATGTTTTTGAAAATCATCATTAAGAATGTCTTTATTATGCCATGTTTTATAATAAACTAGTTTATTGTCAATTTTAATGCAAGAATTATTCCGCACTATGTCTTTAACATTATTTTTGATTTTATTATGCTCATGCTGAATGTGAAACCAAGACGAAAGAACATCATTCATTAAAGAAGTATGTGGATATATATTATTGATATCTTTTTTTGAAATATTACATTGGAAAAAATAAATAAAATAATTTCCATATTGCTTTATCTTGTGTTTTACAAAAAGGTTTCTACGAACCTCATTTTCTTTGTTTATAAACGTTTTTACCCATCTTGCTTTTAAATGCATTAAGATTAAAAAGTAATGTCTATCACTTTTAGCCCACCAATTTTAATGTTAAGTTTTATAGTTTTGCGTTTATTTTTTTATGTTTTTTTTCTGCCCATAGAAAATGAAACATATTGCTCTAGTTATTTTTTCTTCTTATCATTAGATGGATTTACTAATACTGAAAAAGTGTATATTAATTTTGGCTATGCAAAAGTTTTTTTCACCATTACTTTTTCCATCAGAGTAAGCTTTCTGTGTTGCCTTTGTTTTAAGCAATTCAAAAATTCTTTAAGTTTAGGTTCGAAATTTATGTTTGTATTTTTTTTTGTTTCTAACTAACCAAAACATGGCAATGCCACGAAACCAGGTTTTAAATTATATATAATACAAATACAAGCAACAAACAATGTAACTATGTGCAAAGTAAATCATGAATAATGTAGGAGGAATTGCGCATAGAAGATCGTGTTCACTATATCTTATGTATAAGGGAAAAAAACAAAGGGCCATATTTAGGTCAAATATTAACCAATCACAAAACCCCGACAATATGCGCCAGAGCACTTGATGACAAAGCTTCTGTGAAAGTTTGAACAAAATCCGTTGAGAAATGTAGGAGTTGAGCACAGAAGAAATTGTTCACTATATATTCTGAATAAGGAAAAAAAAAACAAAGGGCCATAAGTAGGTCAAATATTATCCAATCACAAAACCCCGACAATATGCGCCAGGGCACTTGATGACAAAAATAGTGTGAAAGTTTGGTCAAAATCCATTGAGGAATGTAGGAGGAGTTGCGCACAGAAGAAATTGTTCACTATATATTCTATATAAGGAAAAAAACAAAGGGCTACAATTAAGTCAAATATTATCCAATCACAAAACCCCGACAATATGCGCCAGGGCACTTGATGACAAAGGTTCTGTGAAAGTTTGGTCAAAATCCGTTGAGAAATGTAGGAGAAATTGCGCACAGAAGAAATTGTTTACGCCCGCCACCCGTCCGCCCGCCGACATACCTCAATCTAATAACCAGTTTTTTCCTTCGGAAAACCTGGTTCAAAAGCCTAATGCTGAATCAGATGTTCACTTGAATTTCATAATTTTTTTTTTCTGTCTATTTGTATAAAATTTCTACACATACGATGAATAATTACGATGAAAAAGGACATCCTTGTGGTAAAAGGTTCTGAGAAATGATCGTTATTAAATGTCAGTGTGTGATCGTTATTAACAATTATTCTTGAAATATTTGTGTAAAAAGTTTGACCCATTGAGCTTTTCAACTGACATAATCAGCAAAGAAAACTTTAAAACCTGGTCCTTTTACTTTTTGCAGTTATTCCATTGTTTTCATTATATGATTGAAGTGTCAAGGCAGTGTGTGTAATGTTATGTGAGTCATGTTCGCTGTGTACATAGAGTCGGATCAGTGCTTCTTGAGTGTCCTGTGTGTCAGGTCTGTGTTTGGGAAAGTCCCTGTGAGTCATGTTCGCTGTGTGCGAAGTGTGCTGTGAGTAGTGTACTGTGTTAGTGTCATGTTCGCTGTGTGCGAAGTGCTGTGTCAGTGTAGTGTACTTTGAGTTTAGTGTACTTTGAATTGTGTAGTATGTCTGTATATGAGAAGTGTCCTGCGTATCATGTCAGAGTTAACGAAGTTTCCTTCGAGTCATGGTCGATATTTGCGTAGTGTAGTGAGTAGTGTCTTGTACCTGTGTCAGTAGTGTCCTGTGTCAGTAGTGTCCAGTATGTCAGTAGTGTCCTGTGTCAGTAGTGTCCAGTATGTCATTAGTGTCCTGTGTCAGTAGTGTCCAGTATGTCAGTAGTGTCCAGTATGCCAGTAGTGTCCTGTGTCAGTGTGTCAGTAGTGTCCTGTGTCAGTATGTCAGAAGTGTCTTGTGTGTCAGGTCAGTGTTAAGTGGTGTTCTGTGTCACTGTTTGAGTAGTGTCGTGTGTGTCAGTACGTGGTTAGAAGTGTCCTGTGTGTCAGGTCAGTGTGTGAGTAGTTTTTATTGTATTTTTTTTCAGTGGAGTAGCGGGGGATCGAACTCGCAACCCCTACACTTGTAGTCAGACAGTGTTACCACTGCACCACAGCGCCCGCTCTGATTTATAACTATTTTGGAAGCTCCTTTATACATTATCACATTAGTAAACAATTGAATTTTCACACCTAAATAGTATATAGCTGTTAGGTCTAAAGTGTTTTACAATGGCTGACATTCGTTTCCTTGCTCGAGGGGTTATGATAAAGAACTTTACATAAACGAGTAGTAAAAGAAAAACAAGAGCTGTCACTGAAAAGTGACTTATGCCCCCGAAAGGAAGCTTTGACATAAATTACCTTAGATATGTAATTGAATATGAGTCCGACAGCCTTTGATAAATGTCATTCCTAAAATTTCCTTGAAATTACACTAGAAGTGTAGGAGAAATAGTCTAAACAAATTTTAATAAAAAAATCCATCATAAACGGCCTACAGCTGTGTCAAAATTATGGCACAATGCACAGCTAGACACCATGCAAACGACTTTATACATGTTCTTTGAAATTTCCAAAGTGGTTTTGGAGATGAAGGATGGACAAAGTTAATTTACTGAGAAAGCAAACTATAGACTCGGTGACAAACAGTCCTGTTAAGTTTCACTGACCCCCCCCCCCCCATCCCAGCGGCTTTAGAGATGAAGCGCGTACAAGCTTACTTCACCCGAATATCGCCCATTTAGGGTTCATAACTGTGCCCCAAAAAATTTAAGTAGAAAATCAAGATACTATATGCGCAACATGGGTACAAACAAATACTGTGAACTTTCTCTGAAATTTCCCAATTTCCCATCTTTTGGACTATTTGGAGATGAAGCGTGGACATGCTTATTTTTCTTGTAAACTTACCATTAAGTCAAGCTTATTACTCGAAAATGACCGCAAAGAGACCATAACTGTGCCAAAAATAATTAAAGGCAAAATCAGGACACTGCACAACTAGGCATGGTGACAAATAATCCTGTGAAGTTTTAGTGAAATCCCCTAGTGGTTTCGGAGATGTAGCGTGGACAAGGTTATTTTACTCGAAAATTGACCATTAAGGGGCCATGACTGTGCAAAAAACGAAACAAATTAGTAGTTTTTGTCACAAAAACATATGTCTTTAAAACAAGGTATGATACTGATCACTCCTGTGAATTTTGGTAAAAATCACGCCAGAAGTTTGACCTTTGAAAGCCGGACAAGATTTTCGGTTGTGCTATTTTCCAGTGTCTAATCAGATCAATATACCTCGAAAAGATTATGAAAACGCACATTTAAAAATTGGATAAAAAGACTAAAACTTTGTATATCACATCACTGGGTCCTGACGCGAGTAACGAAAAATGTCCCACAACGAAAGCATGTGAAGGTTAATTGCGCTTCGAAAGTTTGTTTAGATGCGCATGTCCTGCTTTCTTAGAGGCGTTGCTTATGTTTTCAAGGTTTATGGATTGTTCTAAGAGCAACTACATGTATTGTAGTTAGAATGGTTAATATCCATTATTATTATTTTGTTTGTCTTATTTATTGAAAGTTTAACAGTCATATCATGCAAAATAAACACGTGTCATGCTGTTTGATACTTTTTTTAAGTACAAGTCGCATATTCCACGATGAAATTTATTGTTAATATTTCTTGATGTTGGAAATATGTAAAGGTACTATAAACACGTTTTATTTAATGCCTATGCTAGAAAAAAGGCCAAAAAAAATTATTCGCCCAAAAAAATGAGTATCACAGAGTACGTTTAAGTTGCTCAACGAAAACAGTTTTCAGGAGGACGTAAATCAACGAAAACATTTCATATTTCAGGAGCCTGGTCATGCAGTATGCTCTCATTGCATTCTCATTTAAAAGCGTTATTTCGTCACGGAGCTTATGTACGGAGAAAATAGAATGGATGAGAGTAATATATAGGTCAAGGCGCTAGTCGAAAATTATATTTGTCAGTCGGTGTATATTTTAATTGATTTTAATGAGACAAATCCTTCTTAATTTTCTCAAGATAATAGAAGAATATCAAGAGTATATTATAACGCTTCTTCCATTGAAGCTCGATGAATGGCGCGCCTTAACAAAAGCATATAAAGTGATCTTTTGCGCTGTATTTTTTTATTTCCACTTTCCAGGTATTTTAAAGGCACATTATTCTTCAGAAATAAATACATATAATTTTCTCTAAAAAGGGCAACAATTGTTTTGTAATGTTTTAAGAATTGAACTGAAATGTTATGCGCATATCATTTGAACAAAGAACTGCTTAAAGTGAAATAATTAGTCATAAATATAGCAAAAATCAATTCAAAATGCTTAATCACTATAACGTACTATACCTATAGTATACTTATGCCACATCATTGTGACTATTTGTGCCCAGTATTTTCAAAATCCCTTGATCTATGAAGAAGTTATGGACAGGACACGAAATATACCATATATCAGACTCTGTTAACCTTTGACCTCTAAGTGTGACCTTGACCTTGGAGGTAGGTGCAGGTGTTGCGCATGACACATCGTCTCATTATAGTGACTATTTGTGCCATGTATTTTCAAAATCCTTTGATCTATGAAAAAGTTTTTGACCGGACATAAAATATACCCTATAACAGACTATGTAAATCTTTCCAAGTGTGACCTTGACCTTGGAGTTAGGTGACTGGTTGTTGTTCATGACACATTGTCTCATTATTGTGAAGTCTAACTAAATCCCTTCAAAGATAAGAAAGTTATGGACCGGACACGACATATACCCTCAAATAGACGATGTTGACCTTGAATGAGCAAGCGTGACCTTGACCCACGAGGTAGGGGTCTGGTTGTTGGGCATGACACAACGTCTTATTATAATAAAAATTTGTGCCCAGTTATTTCAAATTCCTTTGATAAATGACAAAGTTATGGACCGGACACGAAAGTGTGACAGACGAACAGACGGACGGAGCCTATTTCTATATCCCCCATTTTTCTTCGAAAAGGCGGGGAACAATAAACAGCATGAAGACCAGACCTTATGGGAGCTTTAAACAGTACAAAATTATATATTTTCCAGAAAACATTGGAAAAGTTTCAGACTTCGTTAAAATTAACATGATGAAGAGCTTATGGGAGTTCTAAACAGTACGAAATTGTATGTATTACAAAAGTAGGGGGATAATGGCCAACAGGGCATGTGGCAAGGATCTTCAGACACACTGTTTTCTAACCCAGAAATGTCTGAAAAAATACTCAGACGTAATAATGCAAATTTAATTAAAATTCGCAAATTATAAATGTAATAACTTAAGTATAATTTCTTTAGTATTTTATAAGTCAGGTTAAAACCCATAATTTCAATTATCTGAAAGATTCCAGTTGGAGGCTTTACTTATTTCTTTTTATTTCATATAAATTATTCTATAACACTGAAGATGATCTACCAAGCAATGTTACCAAAAATATTACTATAGTTTTTTTTTCTCTTTCAATATAGAAATAACTATAATAATAGCTATAGATCTTCCCTAATGATGTATTTTACTGAAATCATTTGCAACACTTGAAAATTTACTAAATTTGAATAAGTTTGGATGAGACAAGGCTCCACTTTTTTTTTGGTAAACAAAAAAATGAATAAAATAAATTCTTAATTTTATTACAACAGTCATGAACAACATATTCAAAATAAACAATTTCCAAATAAACATTACAAAGAACATTTTAAATGCATGTTTGACAAAATATTCTTTCACCAATAAATATATTAAAAAGAATAAAACCTCTTTAATTAATTTAAGATTATCAAACCAAATTACAATTAAATAATTCTGTATACCAAAATAATATTTCATAATATATACATATATCACACTGACTAACTTATATAAAAAGCATAACGATATAACCCTATATGCGGTCCCAAATCCTGTTTTCAAATTGGTTGTCTCTCTATATAACAATACTGGGATATAACGTTATTAATTTGACGGTCCCCTGAATACCTTTAAAACGGGAGTTTACTGTATTATCATGTTATGGTCATACCCCACCTTTTCAGTTATCTAAATGAAGATATAATTGTACAAGGGCCTCACTGTGAACTACTTCCGGTACATATATGTAGGCACCTATTAAAAAAGACTGTCAGAGATCAGGACCAATTTTCTAGCTTTTAATGGAGGAGACAGAAAACAGCTGCATGGCATCCATATGGTTTCTGGCATTAACAGCAACCATGGAAAGACCACCAACACACAACAAGCTAGCTTGATACTTAATAAGATACCTTTAAAATGACAAAATAGCAAACTCAATACGGAGATTCAAAGCAATGAATTACTGTATAAATATCATGTATCATTTGAAAACAGCCTTAAATAAATATATTTGAAAAAAAGCAAATAAAAACAGCGAAAGAAAATGGCAAATAAAAAACCCCCAGAAAAATGATGATACAGGTTCCTGTGGCCTGATTGCCTGTTAATATTGTTTTCAGAATAAAACTTTAAGAAAATGCAATTTGCTGTAATAAACCAGTTTTATCTCTTGTTAATACAGGTCTCAAAGACATTTACCTTTGGCCTTTGAAGTAGCTTCAATTTTTCTCAAAGTGGGACTTATGATACAAGAGTGATATTTGGAAAAATTTCCATGAAAAAAAAGTGATATCATGTTAAAAGACTAAAAATATACTCAAAATTCAGTTAGAATCACATCTTTATATACTAATGTGTATAAATAAGACATTGAGGAACAATCTATGTGCCCCCTATTCACATAATTTTTAAGTTTCTATTGAGGAAAGTTTCATTTTATTTTCAAAATCAAATAGTTAAAATGAATAAAAAAGAATTGTTTACACATTCTTTTTTATGACACTTTTGGCTAAAAGAACAAACTCAGTTTGTACATGGAATGCTTTGAGTGTAAATGCAACATACAACAAAAATTTCACTCATTAGTACAATTGTAAGTATGAAATGTGAAGCATATCCAATTCAAACTTTCAAAGACCACCTCCATTGTGATACAGTCCAACCAACAGTACAAAACACAAACTTCCATTATGCAATGACATAGAATGCCTGCCATGCATTAATTAAATAACATTTTAAATATTGTATCTGAACAAAGATTGTGCAAATATTATGCAAAGAGTGATCCCCCTGTATATAAACACATCTTAAGTACTTTCAACACACTTTTTACAAGCAGATGTAAAAAACAACCAACAAATTTTAATAAATATGGTTACATCGGTTCATTTATGATAATATCTGAAAAATGTTTTAGTTAGATCTCATATAATCAGTTCAATGAAAAGCAACGCTTTTCTTTAGCTTTGACATTTAGTCTTCTTAACACAATATTGACATTTATAAAATAACAAGTGACAAATTTGTTATTCTTTTTTTAGTTAGATCTCATAATTTCTAAATTTTCGCAACATTTCTGAAGGCTCTTCCCTCTTCCATGGCACTTTCTTTTCATACTGCTCTCTTGCCCCTGTTAAAGAATGGCATAAAAAAAGGGTTAAAGAATGTATTAATTAACTCAATATTTTTGTCTTCATTTTTGTTTATACAAAGATGTAAAGACTGTCATACATGTACTTGATTTTTTATAAACAAGAGCACCTCAAGGAGGGGCAATATAATATTATGTCCGAATGTAAATTTGTTTGAGTAATCAAAAATAATCAGTGACCCAATCAAGAAACTTGTCTGAAAAATGTTTTGTCTTAATTATACTTAACTTAATTACCCTTAACATTATAACATCATATGACATTTTTTTGAGCATATAAAAGGGGGACAGTAACCCTTCATTTTGTAAAAAGATCAAGTATAAACAATCTTCCTTCTTAATTGGGGGAAAATAAACTTTAAGCTAACTTTTAATTGCTGTACATAACATGAAACAGTCATACCTGTATTTCTACTACTAAATTGACTAGATATATGGGCTGACTGGGAGGTGTTACTATGTTCGCCTGGGTGTCTGTCCGTCTGATTCATCCTATTGTTAGAGTCCTCTGTATCCTGTATCATACTCTCTTTCTTTGGGGTCATCCAGTGCATTGACTGAAGTACAAGCAATTAATCTACTGTATTTTAACATGAGTAATTATCTTCGGGTGTATGACTGCATTATATTGGATGTTATTATCTTTGGATGCTACTTTAATCTAAAGTGATACTAGATCAGTAAAAGTAAGTTATATTTTGTTCCCAATGAATATAACTATAAATGCTTGTGTTTGGTAAGAAAACACAATAAAGACAAATGAAGTTTCAATATTTTCCTTTCTACTTTTAAACAATGCAAAACAACAACTTATTTACCCATCTTTTGCATTTCATAATTAATGTAACCTTCATAATACTAAACTTTCCAACTGAGACAATTTGCAACATATTCAGATTTTGTCCTTGGGTGAAAGTCTGAAATCTGAAACAATGTAAAAATACCTGATACACAAATTACATTTTGGCTGAAGTTTAAACATAAAGAAAACTGAAAGCATGGTTTAACTTACAGTATGGACAGCCCCTCTTAGATTGCACCACTGCTGGAATGGCATTGATATACCAGAATGACGCCATTTGTCATACACAGATCTTTTCTCATCATCACATAAAACATCCTTTGCTGTCTGTATTCTCTCAAACTCTAAAGCTGAAATAATCATTAAAATTTAGTTAAACGGCTTAAATATATCAAATGGACTTGTCCATTTTTCATTCTGGACAAAACTATTCACTACTTTTAAGGAATTTTTTTACAAGTTATGCACTTGATCCTGATGAAGGTTCAAAAGAACCTAAACTGGTAGAGAATAATTAACCTTGACAAACTCTAAAGTGTTGATGTGCTGTATTTATCCATTTTCCACTTATTTAAATTTCAGTATGATTAGTCGAACAGTTTGCTGTACTGCAGATGTTGAACGGTAGGATCAGTTGCACAGCGGTTTCAAGGAAAATAAAAGATCATAATACTAAAAACTTTAAAATCAAAAAAATTATGTTTTTCTATATTTCCAGCACCTGTAATGACTACATTTTACTATATTCATAAAGAACTTAGATGTCAACTTTAACCAAAAATTTAATGTAATACTATTAACATAAAATAATGAATATTTGTTAAGTTTTTTCCTATTATATTGATCATAGCCATTTGTGGATTAAAAAAATTATCATTTGGATTTTAAAGGGTTTTTATTAGTGTCTGTCGGTAATAACTGTGCTGGTTTGATTTATTTTATGTAGTAATTTCAGTTTGGTTAATAATTATCATACTAAGTTTTGATAGCTGCAAAAAAATTGCTTTTTAAAGAACCCTTTTGGCTTCACACTCCATTTAAAGACAAACCCATTATAGCCTACTATTCACTGTAATGGACTAGTACTGACATAACAGCCTTCTAACAAAAGCAAAAACAACAATCCTGAAATTATGGGCTACTATTTTTTGTTGTGGATTTGTACAACATGACTGTTATTTGAGGAAAGTATAAGAAGATCTTGATTTTGATTGAAATATTGAATAATAACCTTTATCTGGATCATCCGGATGTTTGTCAGGATGGCAGTGAAGAACTCGAGCCTTGTATTCTGCAGATATCTGTTCTTTCTGGAATATATTAAAGAATTTAAATTCTGTAAAACAAGACAGAATATTGTGAATTATCTATGCATTAGTCAATATTATAATCTGTGAATTTGCATAGGTTTACAAAACCTGAGAGCTGTCATAGATAGAAAGGGTACTGATGTATCGTTAATATTTTTCTGCAGATCAATAATCCATACTGTACACATTTGATTTTGACAAATTAATTTAATGTCTAGAAATTATGAAAATTCACACACAAAATAGTCACACAAGTTTCGCATCATGTCCAATTTAAACCATGCTAATATTACATAATGGACATATTTCATAGCAGTGATGACAAAAATGGTCAGAAAAAAGTCATGCAATGGGCATGATATATAAACATTGCATGTCATACAGAACATGTATTTTACACAGACACTTGGAGTATGGACCCGCCCTTCTCCGCCCCTGAATATTAAAAACTAAAAGTATTGTTTATTACAAGAATAAGTTTTAAATTTGTGCTTATATTAGTATGAGACGGTAAAGTGTCTAACACATGAACAAGTTTGAATAAAATTTCATAACGTTTTAAAAAAGTCAATTTTTTTCCAACGCTCAATTATGATATTCTAGGGACTTTTTTAAACGTGGTTAAAATAGCGGAAAACATGTTTTATGTTCAAGACATGTGACCGGGTCGTAATAATATGCAAAAATATTTTGACGTACGGTTTGCACGATAAAAATAGGCATGGTGTATACAAGTGCGGATCAAGAAGGGGAGCCACGCACATAACCCCAAGCGTCTGTGGTATTTTACATGTAATAGTGGTTAGGTTTTATGAGAATTAATGCTGAGATCATTTAAACATGTCCGATAATGAATTATATGCATGCACTTGTAGTTTGTCTATCAACATGATATGCTTTACACTTATTCAATGACAAACTATAAAATATAATATATTAATATTATAATATACAGTAGATCTAGACGCTGGGCAATTTAATTCAAGTTAATTGTAAATTGATGGCAATTTTAGGCAAACTTACGGATGACAACTCATCACAGCCCAAGATACCATAATAATCTTCGTTATCGTTTGGTTTATAACCAAATATATTGCTCAATCCTTCATTCATTGTTAATTATACTGTTTTCAAAATTTATGTTAGTCTATCATTGTTGACATAATTTGACAGCTAGGGTCTAGTCTTTATATAAATATATAAGTAACCATTACAGAAATGCATAAACAATAATGCTTACTTTGTTTAGTTTTAATATTTATATATAGTAAATTTTAATAATAATTCCTATCAAGAATTTCAATTTGATTTGAAATGTTTGTCTCTTTTAAAAATAATAAATAATAAAATAATGTTTCTCCCTTTGCGCCAAATGCATGCGCAAAGAATCGCGTCAAAATGGCGGACTATGAAACCGAAACGAATCCCCGGAAAAAAATTAAGATTCATCATCGCGCTGACCAAAATGGTAAGTGATACATAGCCAACACATTTATCATGAATTATTCTATCTTTTGTCATTATTTTGCTAGCCTTCAATCCGCTGATTTCGTGTCTTCGTCCCGACTTCCGTAATCATAACCGAAAGTAGAGAGAGTTGCTTCCCTTGGATGTTTTATATTGCCTTTAAACCTACACAATAAGCAGTTAACACTTCAAATTTTAATGAAAAAAATAAAACACGTTGACATTTTTTATAGAAAATTATTTCGTTCTTATTTGCTTATTTGGAGTCTAAAAAAAAAATGATTATGATGGTTAATATTTGAAACTGACAGTAACCAGACCCTTCCTTAAGGCCAAAAATAGAATAATTTTTCTCACCCCATTAGTTTGTCATGCCTTCTCACCAGACTTAATCGCCTAGTTAAAAACTAATTGTACTACGCAATGAGGTATTGTGTTATTTTGTGTATGGTCATTCCAAGTCGAAATATAATTTATATATTGGTTTCTGAGATATTTACGTTCTGCCATTCTGGCCAATCTGGGTCAGAATCTCGCTTCTACCATGTAGAGGCGAGATATTGCCCAGACACAAAATAGGACAATATCTTGTCACGCAGTACAATTAGTTTGACTAGGGCATTCCCAAATATTTTATAATCTTAAACTTAAATTTCAGTTGTTTTTTTTTTTAATAATGTTTATTTTCAATTTTTAACTGTGTAATAGCAGGGTCTTTCAAATAGGATGGTCTGGAAACGCGCTTTGTAAACCTTTTTTGCTACAAATAAACATGTCCCGGTATAACCTGTATAGTTTGCTATACACAAATTATGTTAAGTGTTCAAGAAATGGGCAAAAATTAAATACAAGAGCAAAAATGAAAATTTTAACGACATGATGTTATGTAAAAATCTTTAAACTTGTGAAAAAAGGATAAGTATTTCAGAAAATAATGTTTTTAAAGCCATATTTGTTAAAAAACATAGATTGCTTGTTCTGAATATTTGCCGATAAATGGCGCCATTTTGAAAATGCACCAAATTAAACATCAAATATTTGTAAATAACATCATGAGATATTATAATATTTTTACATGATACGATTAAATAACATTAATTTTTTTCTCTGTAAAATCAATTTCTATTTTGTCATTGAACAATGCTTAAATTAAAAAAAAAAGTTCATGAAACTCTGACCTATTTTCAAATATAAGCAGTAGATTTTTACCTTGACACCGGGAATGAAAAATTCCCAATTTCATTGCAAATCTATGAAATTGATACTTTTTTTAGTAAAAACTGATAATATAATGTAGCCAGGGTTAGTTTTTAGTAATTTTTTTATTGATTTAACAAAACATTATTTTATAATTTGATTTTTGAATGGTGATGTACTATGCCAGTTCATGGCCGGTAGATGGCCCAATCATGTAATATTGTTACTCAACCGAGACATATTACATATTTTTTTCGTAAAATTGGTCCGACTCCAGACCATTCTAATTTCTATTTGAATGACCCTGGTAACAGTAAACTGTGTATGAATTTATTGAAATATATATGAAATGCTTGAGTAAAAAAAATTGCTTCTAGTTTCCATTTTTTCAAAACATAAAGCACCTTTGATGTATAACACCAGTAACTGCTTCTAAAATAGCAAAGTTATCCATGCTTAGCTTATTTCAAAATGGTGTGCTAAACCTCTTTTGTTGGTTGATATAATGGTAAACAAAAGAAAGAGCGTAGCAACAGGTTTTTTTTTTTCACAGGTTGGGGAAGCAGCCCTGCCCTTAAGTTTGGGGAAAAAATACATGGTATATTTGCAAAAAGGGGAAGAAAAAACTTGATGTAAATTCAAATTTTTGGGAAAACTGCATCATTTCAAAGAATTTTTTTGGGGGTTGGGGGGGGGAGCTGCCCTATAATGGCCCCTGCTAAAGAAGAAAAAAAGCCCTGACTGAACGAGACAATCTCTGGAGTGTTGAAGGTGACAAATGTGATGGTGATGGATGTTGTCCATTATTATCAAAACACACAAATTAAATTTAAAAGTCTTGAAAACTTCTCTTAAGTCTTTGACTTCAACCATATTAAATTTAAATATACATGTATCATTTAAGGTGATCTCACAGAAGCAAATGAAGTTCAAGCTGAATCATCTGAGGTTATTCAAAACAAAGAAGAAGACAAAGAAAGAAAAATTGATTCTAATGCAACTGAGGGGGATATAGCTAAAAAAGATGAACTTGAAAAGGAAAAAGAGGACAATTCTGGTAAAATTGGAGATGATAAGTCAAATAGAAATCTTGATATTGATGATAGTGATGATGATGTTAAAATGGAAGAAGGAACAAGTGGGAAAGATATTGATGTTAGTGATGCAGAATCAGATGTTAGTGCACTTAGTGAAGGGTCTAGTCTTAGTGGAGAAGACACATGGAAAGCCGTTGCTGCAGGTATTTTACATTTAGTATCATTGAACTTTGATATACATGTATAGCAGGGCATTTTTTGCCACATAAAAGCCATATTTCCAACAGCAGTTGAATAATATACGAAAGAACCTGGTCTAAACATTGAAAAATAGTTACTTTGGTCATGGAAAACTGAGTCTCTCATTGCTGATGGTGTAGGTGCTTATCTTGTGCTTTATAAAATACATGTAATACCCCAAAATATGACCCCCTGATAAAAACTCATTGAAAATTCAAAAAACCTAATTGAATTTGAAATCTTGTAGCTAAAAAAACTGAAAACTAATTTTACAAAAAGTAATCTGGAGCTCTGATCATGTAGCTTTACACCTTGAGATACTGAAGTAAATTTAAATCATATCATTTTGTTGTTTGAATCTGGTGAATACAGTTTCATGACATAATTTACAGGACCGATGGCATGGGTAATGAGATGTATGGAAGATGGCGTAAATCCGAGATCAATCTTGGCACAGATCATTCCAGATGAAAATGATATACCGGATGTTGATGACTATATACTGTGGAAACTTGTTGTAAATCTGGTATCTGAACCTCCGCCCAGAAACAAACTACCTGATATAAATACACTAGAAGATGTTGTAAATTTACTGCAGAAATGTGAGAAAATTATGGTCCTTACAGGAGCAGGGGTATGTTATTTCCTGTATTTGTTATTTTTTGATTTATATCAATTTTTGGTTATTCATTGTCTATATTAAACCTACTTTCCTCATGACAAAGCATTTTTTTTTTTTTTTGCAGATATATTTGTTTTATTAAGTTTGTCTATTAATTTTTCAAACCATATTCACCAAGTCCAAAAAACTGATATACATGTATAAGCCCTAAAGGCTTGTAAGCTTGACTGAATTGATAACATACCCTTATAAGGGCCAAGTGAAGTTAAACAAAATTTAGCACTATCCAGTATCATGTCAGATTAATGTATTTTAGGTATCCGTGTCATGTGGTATACCAGACTTCCGGTCTCGGAATGGTATATATGCCCGGTTAGCTGTAGACTTCCCAGATCTTCCGGACCCTCAGGCCATGTTTGATATAAAATACTTTAAGAATGATCAGAGACCTTTCTTTAAGTTTGCCAAGGTTTGTATTACTTTTTCACTTCATATCTTAATTTTTTTTTCCTTTATATACACCAAACAAAAGTCCAAAATGGTCACTTAGTTCTTTGCAACTTGCCAAGTGTTAAGCTTACTATTTGATATAATGCTGTTTGATATGATGCAAAACAAAATATAAAACCTTTAAAAGCAAAGAGTCTGTCAACAAACATATTTATATTTTGAAAACAGTTAATAGTGACTAAAAACATAAAAGATTTTATCCAGAGAAATATAATATCTTTAAGTTTTATCATAGTTTTGCCACAGAAGAAAACAATATTTACTTGTTCTGTCTTTCATTTGCAGTTAAAAATGTTAAATCTCAAGGGGTTGTTACGCAAATCTGTTTTCTGTTTTACTGAAAACAGTTCATTGAACGCCGCCTTTCCTTGTTGATCTTGTTTATCATATTTTTAACTGTTTTGAAAATAACCAGGCTTTACATTGTTGGCTGTTCAACTTTCAATCATGATATACCCAAATTTATTTACGACTTTTTTTAGAAAATAAGAGGAAAAAAGCAGCCTTATTTAATGAAGATGGAAGTTTATTTAAGAATATACGTTGTAGCAGAAAAATGATTGATTCAATGATTATAAATATGAGAAAATTATTTTAGAATAAAACAGAAAAAAGGTTAATTTTAAATACTGTTAAATTGCATAATTTTTCATTCATTGTTTTGCAGGAGATTTATCCAGGTCAGTTTGAACCATCTAAGAGTCACAAGTTCATAAAATTGATAGAGGATCATGGGAAATTATTACGCAACTACACACAGAATATTGACACACTTGAACAAGTGGCAGGAATTAAAAATGTCATACAGTGTCATGGTAACTGCAAATTACTATTTTTTGGGGGGTGGGGTGGGGGTGTAGCGGGTATTAGTCGCATCAGCATTTGTGAGGTCATAATGTGACTTTCTTACTTTCCTGATAGAGAAATACCACTGGTGCACTATTTCAGGCATGAGCAGTCACTTGAGAAAAATAACTCTTCAGTAAGAAAGCTGGATAGGTTCCTCACATTAAAGTATTGAAGGTTCCTGGTGGGATTCTAACCCATAACAGAGAGGGGCCAATGTTTTGATAACTACAAATTAAGATTATAAACAATGTACATCATATAATGCTATGAATTAAAAGTTAGTTGACAATAAGTCATATTGTCAATAAGAATCTGAATAAAAAAACAAAGAAGATAAAAATCAGTGTGAAAATTTTGGTATAAGTCAACATACAACAGTTTGGAATATTTTTATTACTGTAACATTTAAAACATTTATAGTTAAGCAATTGCTACCAGTATAGAGCTAGACCATGAAGCAAATCTGTGAAGTCCGACAATATTTAATTTTTTAATTTCATCTTGATACCCTCAAAATTTATAATGGACAGTACCAAAAATGGAAGGTGTACAAGTCCATTAAAAAAAGCAACTCATTAGGTTTAATTGTAGAAACCATAATTTTTTCGATGACATAAAAGAATGATAGTTTTTTGTTTGTTTCAGGATCATTTGCTACAGCCACGTGTATGACTTGTCATCATAAATGCTCCAGTGATGATATTAAAGAACAAATAATGGAGCAGGTAAGAGGAAGTAATTTTGTTATGTGTGCAACAACTAATGCCTTTTAAATTGATTATTTTGTTAGTAAAGTTGCAAACACCTCTTAATGCAGCCAATCAGATGGTATTACAGTGACACATATACTGTAACTAGGTGTATTAAAGAAATGTGCAGTTGAATTTTCTAAAAAGAAGTTTAATAGTACATGTAATAACCTCCTCTGTCTGTTGATTTTGAGCTTATTTTGTACATGTGTATTTGTTTAAACATTCCAAAGAAAGTTTGTTAAACTTAGAAAGAAGAAAACTAAAACTGAGCCTTTTTTCATATGATGATGTGTGTTGTGCATTGTCAGTCATGTGTCACTATCCACTATTTCTTTAAACATAAATATCTCCATCTTTAACATATCCACAAAATGAAATTTGACCAAACTTCACAGGAACGATCCTTAGGTGGCCCTCTACAAAAGTTAAACAAATGGTCCCAGTCTGTTTGTTTGATGCATATTAGGTCACTGGAGCTAAAAACAGACAAATTTTCTGTTAGCAAATGACATTCTGTCTGGGTCATTTATTTTACATAGACTTACATAGGAAAGCGCATTTAAATCTTTATTGTGTACTTTGCATGTAGCTTTGTCTACTAAACATCCTCAAAAGTTATATCTGATATATGAGCCGCGTCATGACAAAACCAACATAGTGCGTTTGCAACCATCATGGGTCCAGACCAGCCCTGCATAACCGCGCTGTCTGATCAGGATCCATACTGTTCGCTATCAGTTTTTCTACTTGTAATAGGGTTTGTTAGCGAACAGCATGGATCCTGATCAGACTGCGCGGATGCGCAGGCTGGTCTGGATCCATGCTGGTCGCAAACGCACTATGTTGGTTTTGTCGTGACGCGGCTCAATTATAAATAAACTATAACATCAAAGTGCAATAAGTTTATAAATAGTGACCTAGAAGAAAGATTATTTGGTGTATATTTTTTCAATTCTTTCACTGATAAATACATGTATTAAGTTTCATTCATTTTATGTAGGTAAATGTAAAGTATAGCAGGTGTTCTGTTGAACTTAAATGAATTAATCTTAACCTTTAATTAAATATGGTGTAAATTTAAGGATGGAAGAAAATACTTGTTAAAACAGTACATGTACTTTGTGGGTTTTTTTTTCCATAAATTTTTGAAATAATTTAGTGTTTGAAATAATTTTTTTGTCCAATAGAATCGCTGCATTTAAAATGAATCACAGCACAATTACTGTACTTTGGTAAATTGACTGAATTTAATCAACAGTTTTTATAAAAAATAATTTGAAACACTAAATTGGTTAGTGTTTTTTATTGAGTAAGATTTACTAAAATGGTAACTAATAAACATTAATATATACTTAATGCACCTGAACATAAATTTGTATCTCATAATTTATACACATACTTTATATATACAATGTATGGAGAGCAATTATTTATAGATATTTATGTGCAATAATTAAAATTTTATTAATATTGACCATGCAGTGGGCTTGATTACAGGTGTGTGTCTTTTTGCAGTTATTCTTAGGTTGGATATTACTATTTAAGAGACTTTATTTAAGGCAGTGATTTTTTCCCAATTTTCAAACGACTTGTGGCTTTCTGAAGGGGGAAAATATAGCGCAATAAATCAGAAAAGGGGTAATCAAATTCCAACAAATGAGAATGGAATTTACCAACACATTTATAAAATTTCCCATTTCAATTCAATTTCACATGCATGGTACATAGCAGAGGCTATAGGGACAGCTTTCTGTCTTCTAGCTTATATAAAAAGTCAGATGCTGTTAAGTCATGATTCTGATGAAGAAGTGCACAGGGCATTTCAGGGGAAAATATTAGCTTTTTTAGGGGAAAATATACCTATTTTGAGCTAGGGGAAACAGCCTTTATTCGGCTGTAAAATACAGGGGAAAATCACTGTGAGGTCTTTGGTTTTAAACAAAAAATTTTTAAAAAAAAACCCTTCCCAATTTTTAAAAGGTTTCGTTTTTTGATATTTCCTAGAAAAATTTTTGGGTTCCATTATGGGGCCCTTTTAATTTTGATCCACAAAACCCCCCATTTTTTAGTTTATGAAGGGCCGCATTTGTTTTTTTGGAGAGTCTTTTTTTGAGGGGAATTTTTATTTTCCCCCGATGGTACGTTGATAAAAATTGGGCTTTTACTCCTTATAGTTTTAAAGGGTTTTCCCCTTGGGAAAATTTAAGGGGCCTTTTTTGGGTCTTTTTCCAAGGGATGATTTCTTTTTGGCCTTGTTTAGACAAAACCAAAATTTAGGTAATTTTTAAAACAAACTGCCGAAAAAGGGCCCCGGTTTTTTTTGGATTTCCCTGTGGTCGCATTCCCTTATCTTGGTTTTGTCGTGGGCACGGGTATTATGGGTTTTTTAAAAGTTTTTTGCTTATTTTTGTATAGTTTCACTCTTTAAAAAATTTTAAGGGTTGGTCCCTTTTGTTCTTTTTAAATTTTTACCTCCCCTATTATTAAATTTTTGCGGGATCGTTGTGTTTTTGTTAAAAAATTTTTAAAGTAAGGGGGATTATTCAAACATTTTTTGGGGGTTTTGGTTTTTGGGTTTAAAAATTTTTTATCTAACTTGATTTTGGGAAACAATTTCTTTTTTTACGTTAATTTTCCCTTTTGAAAATTTTCTTTGGAAAACCAAAACCCGTTACTTTTATTTTGTATTTTGACACTTCCCGCTTACTTCCCCAGATTTTCTTTTAAAAAAGGCACCTTTTAAAGTAATTTTTCAACTTTTGGGGTTTTTGGGTTATCCGGGGAACTGTTGTTTTTAATCGCCCAAATTTGTCGGGGACTTGGAAAAGATGGACAAAAAAGCAAGCGCGATCCATGCCCAATAGGGATGGACGAGTATTTACACCAACCCCCATCTCCTAACGGGGAGGGAAATTAAAAAATGTGTTTGAAAAGAAAACTGAAGAAAAAGCAAAAGAGTTTAAGGATAATGAAAAGCAATCTGAAAATAGTGAAACCTCAGGGAAAGATTCTACTGCTGGTTCTGAAGTTGCTAATGACAGTGAAAAAGAATCAGGTACAGATTGTCAGTGTAATAAAGAATCAAAATCAAGCACAGATTTAGATAAGGAATTAAGTAACGAAACGCATGTCTGTAAATCAACAGAAAAGCCCGAGGCACAAGCAGAAGTAAAGGACAAAAACCCACCTGAATCTGAAAGTAAAAATTCGCCGCAGATAGAGGCTGATAGTAGTGCTAATGTATCAGTTAATGATGACAAATCTGAAGCCAATGAAATAACTACAGGGCATGAAAAAAGTTCTGAAACTGAACCAGTGTCTAAAGGTGTAGAAAATGGCAAAGTAAGTGATGATGTTAAGCCAGGTAGTAGTAGAGAAGATAATGAAAAACCGGGCTCAAGTACCGATCTCCAAAATGTGAGGAATATATGGGCACCAGGCAGACAGAATATTGCCTTAAGACTTGGAAGTAAGTTTTTTCGTAAATTATATAAATATATTTACATTTACTGAAGAACAAATTATCGATTTAGCTTAAGTCTGAAATTTATGGTTAAATAAAGTAAGCTTGGTCTGATTCTTCTTTATATTCCCTGTTTTACCATTAATGAAATTGAATAATGGCAGCAAAAGTGGTGTTATGAATTATGAGGACTCAGGCCTTACATTAATGTCGAATGCTTAGATAAAAGCCTTATCAATTATTTACATTACATATAATTAAGTGTATGTTTTTTACAGTAATGTGATTCTATCTTGGGCATTGAATTTGAAATTTGTACCTGTTTCAATGATGCTGTACAGAATTACATTTCAATCCAAATATGTTTTGCCAAATTTAAGCAGATGTTTTTTGAAAACAAATGCCTTGTAATTTGAGAGGTTTAGATTTTAGATTTAAGTGATGTTAGTGAATTTGTAACTTATGAGTCCCATGAGTCTTGATAGGTTTGCCAGTGTTTTATTGTTATTGTTTGACCTTGGCTTTTATAAATGTTAATAACATGGCATTTGTATTATAAATACTGATTATAAAAACTGATTATAAATGTTTGCTTTTATATGGTGCTGGCCCTTGGATTTAATAATGTTGATGAATCATCAATGTTTTAAAAAAATAAATCTTTGGTGGAAAAAATGTGTGAAAAGTTATAAGAAATTTTTAAATATTAACCCTTTCACTGCGAGAGGGTTATTGTATTTATTGTTCACCTATTTGCCAGAGGATTTTTTAAAGAAATTACTATATTAATTATTTAATATAATTATTATTATTTGTATTTAGTATTATAATAATTATATATGTTTCCAAATCTGTTAGTATAATAATAATAATTGTCGATGGTATAATTTTCTTTATATTTATTATTATTATTTTTAATTTATTATTATTACTACTATTTTTATAGAAACGGCTAAAGCCATCCATATGGCAAATACGCCGAAAATATCAGGGACGGCTTAAGCCGTCCCTATGGCAGTGAAAGGGTTAACAATTTATGTTAATACCATAAAAGTCTGTGCTAAATTGGACATCAGATTTTAGCTTGTCTATTCTGCAGAAAAAAGCGAAATATTATGATTGCTGTGTCATCATCATCATGTACAGTCTTTATTGTAGCCCATTATTCAAACATTTCAGAAGTTATCAACATGAATCTTGAAATACTTGCTTATTATGACAAGCAATCAAATCTTAGCACTCTCTGTCAAACTTAATACATTATCAATGGAATAGAACATAATACCAGATATTTCTAAAGAAGCATGTTTTATTTTATCGAAATTATAATGTAAATCTGATATTTTTCAGTAAAGTTGATAATTTTAATAGGTTTAATACTTTTATTTTTTCCTTTGCTTCTACAGCCAATCAGTTCTGTTACATCCCACCTTACAAGTACATTTTCCCGGAAGCAGAGTATTTCAGGGTGGTGAGGTCGAGTTCTGAGAGTGAAGGTTGTTCTGACATGGACAGAGATACAACTATGGATTCATCAAGAGAATTGAACCTTACTCATACAACCACTGACAGTAGTGCAATAGAAGGGGATGTTATTGATCTAACAACGGATGATGAAGATGAAAAAGTTGGGCCTAAAGACGAAAGTATGAAAATGGTTTCCGATGAAAAAGTTGGACCTAAAGATGAAAGTATGAAAATAATTACTGATGAAAAAGTTGGACCTAAAGACGAAAATATGAAAACGGTTTCCGGTGAAAAAGTTGGACCTGGAGTAGTAAGCAAGGAGAAAGCCTTAGCTGATATTAGTGTGAGAAAAGACATTGAAGTAGAAAATAAGACAGATGATGCAAAAGAGATAAGTAAAGGTGCTGGTGATAAAGAGAAAGAGGTTATAGATGTAGGAGATACAACTGCTGAAGTTTTAGTAGATTAAACTTTTGTTTGTACAGAAAAATAAACACTTTCAAATGAAAACTTACATATACATATATATATTTGATTTTTTTTCAAGTGATCTCCCAAGTCATTTATAGAAAAGCATTTGTTATTGTTTCTAAATTGTTATTGAAAAAAAAAATTCAGGATGTCCCAAAACCATATAATATAAGCACACAAATTGATGTTGTTTTGATAAGGCAGCTGTGCATTTTATTTTTGAATTCTTTCATGAAAATTTTTTTGAATAATGCCCTCTCAAAGCCAAAAACCTTACCATTATATCTCTTTAATATTGTCCATCATTATCTCATCATTTTTTCATCATCACATATACTTTCCCTTTAAAACCATAATATCAAAACCATCATCTCATCAAAAATATCTCTCTTATCTCTTTACAAATCTCAAAATTTCTTATAATTGTCCCTGTATATTAAAACTTTAAACTTATCCATCTTTTCATCATATTGTCTTTCTCATTTTTCAAAAATTTCCCATTATCTCATTTATTTTTTAAAATTATCTTTCAATTTCATAAAATTTGTCCCCTGTATCTCACCTTAACATTTTTTTTTTCATCTCATTATTTTTTCTATCTTACACCATTTCATCAGTATCCCGATCATTATAACCATTCTCATTCACCATTGATATTATTTGTAATATTTTATCATAATTATCATTTAATATTTGTTGTCAAAATTAACTTAAAATCAATATATTCATTTTTAGCTCGACTTTTCTATGAAAAGGGGAGCTATCCTACTCGCCCCGGCGTCGGGGTTGGCGTCACACCTTGGTTAAGTTTTTCGTACCACCCCACTTTATTTCAGAAGTATTACAAGTATGGCTTTGAAACTTACCATACTTGTTCACCATCATAACCTCCATCTACAGACAAGAGTACATAACTCTGTCAAGGTTTTTGACAGAATTATGGCCCTTTTTTGACTTAGAAAGTGTATTGAGCTTGGTTAAGTTTTTTGTACCACCTCACTTTATTTCAAAACCATTGGAGGTATTGCTTTGAAACTGACCATACTTGTTTACCATCACGACCTTCATCAACAGACAAGAGGACATAACTCTGTCAAGGTTTTTGACAGAATTATGCCCCTTTTTGACTTAGAAAATACATTGAATATGGGTAAAATCCACTTATTGCCTTAACCCTTTGAGATATTGCTTTGAAACTTTTAATGCTATTTCACATCATTACCCCCATCTGTACGCAAGAGAAGGTAACTCTGTCAAGGATTTGTTTTAAAAATTAAGGCCTTTTATCGACTTAGAATCTTGGTTAAGTTTTTAGTACCAGTCCACTTTTTGACTGAACTGTTTGAGATATTAATTTGAAAGTTGGAATACTTGTTTACAATCATGATTCCCAAACATGTCCAGGAGAAGGTAATTCTGTCAAAGATTTTATTTGAATTATGGCCCTTAACTGTCAATGTTTTGTATTATAGGCAAGCACTAAAAAACTTAAAAAATCTAAAAAAATTCATTCCTATCCACTTGTTCACTTTACCATAAATTATGTCATAATAAAATAATTCTTCACTAAATATCTTAATGCTCATGGCCATTGTTCACTTTAAAAATACAGAGATTCTTGTATTGCCTTTTACTGCAAAAACTTTTTTTATTGGCAAGCAATAAAAAAGTCGAGCGCGCTGTCTTACGGACAGCTCTTTTTTTCATAATAATCAAGTGACTGGGTGCCATTTATATGGTGTTTATATTGCAAACCATTCCAATATATGAAACGTATGTATATTTCCCATATTTTTTGTCAATGTTTCCCTTCAAAAAGTCAAAATAGAGTAAGTAAATGAATAACTTAAAGGTAATTTTCTAACAAAAACTTTGTGCTTTTTTAGCATTATTTTGAGCATTATTTTTTTAGATAGTGTTGTTTTTCCATTAGAAGTGTTTCACAGTGATGAACATTCATTATCATCATCTGGAAATTATCATTATACTCTTTATGGTTATTGAATTATCATTACCAGTATTATCATCATAATTCATTATTATCACCGCATAACTGATATTAGCTATTTTAGGTTTCATTATCATCAATATCATCATCATTATCACCATTATCATCACAAATATCATAATCGTAATATGTTATTTTTAATAAAACTGTCCTGAGTGGTATCATAATTACATTTATTATCAATTGTATGATAATCTTAATTAATATTGTACAGCCACATTGAAAATAAGTTTTGTTTACATGTCAATGTCTTGGTTTTTTTAACTTGCATATATACATTGCTTGTATTTTAAATTAATGTTTTTGTTTGTTTTCTATTTGTTTTGTTGTTAGGGTGGGTGGGCTATTAGGTAAATTAGTTTAGGGGTACCCCTAAACTTTGTCAAAATTCTTAAAATTTTTTAAAGATTTTTAAAAGGGCACGGCAGTTTTTTATTATTTTCAATTTTGGCCTTTTGGGAATGGGTTTAGGGGTTCTTGTTTTTTACATTTTGGTATTTTTGAATATGAAAAATTAAAGTATAATTAATTTTAAAATGAAAAAACTGAAAAAACCCGTAGGGATTTTTGGAAAAAAAGAAAAAAAAAAAATAAGAAATACCATATGAAGAAAAACTAATATGGTAGTTATTATAACCTTCTTATTTAAATTCTGTAAAGATAAAAAAAACACAACAGGTGACAATTTTAAATTATAGGACAATATAAGGCATAACTCAGCTTAATTTGATTTTAGAACTGTCCATTAGAAGTTATAGTTATTTCTTTATCAAAGTGTATTTGTGCATGTGTTTGCCAACAGGATTGAGAACAGTTATATTGCGCATGAATGTGCAAGCTGGTTTGGTATTTAGTACCCTATCGCATGCCTTACCTATATCGAGTATAAAACTATTCAATGGCTGCGGTCTGTGACTGCTTACCTCCCTTGTTGATTTTCACTGATGTTTGTTTTGACTTTGCCCTCATTAAAAACATTTACCAGTTTCAAATACAGCATTTTAAAGGTTTATTTAGTATCCTTATACATGTATGTGATATGATCCATGTCATGACAAAACCAAGATTTAAGTGTGCGACCAGCATGGATCCAGACCAGCCGGCGCATCCACGCAGTCTGATCAGGATCCATACTGTTCGCTTATCAACCATATAACAACCATATAACAAGTAGAGAAACTGATAGCGAACAGCATGGATCCTGATCAGACCGCGCGAATGCGCTGGCTGGTCTGGATCCATGCTGGTCGCACACGCACTATGTTGGTTTTGTTGTGACACGGCTCATATGTTTATTACTTAAAGGCACATTATGCCTCTGAATTTCATTTTTTTTTTTAATCTTTAGAAATGTCAAACATGTGTTTAAATAGTGGATTATGTTCATGTTTTAAAAAAGTGATGCACATGCAGTTATGTGTCATACAGCTAGCAAAATGTGAACAAAGTACAAATGTATTATTTTGACTTCTAGACATAACAGTAATTCACTTTTATTATACCAATTGCCAACAGAACTAAAGATGCAAAAAATTTAGTTTATGTATACAGCAAATGAGTATATTTTTTTGGAAACTGTTACAAGAAACCAACAATAATTTTTCAGTAATAACGATTATAGCATTTCTAGAGTATAATGGGTCTTTGAAAAAATATTAATAACAATGTTTGTAAAGTCTTATTAAGTCATTCAAAATTAATTGAGAGCCTTTGTTATTAATGTTCAAGCTTTTTTTGTATTATTTATTGCATAATTGTTATGTACATATATTTGTGTTATTTTCTTTGTGTTTATAATTGTACATGTACATAAGATACAGTAGTTTAGTAAAACAATATAATTATATAATTTCATGGCCATCAAAGACACCGAAAAATGGACTGGTACTTCCTATTTTTACATGTAAATTAGGGCTATTTCATACCTGAATTTTGTATTAATTTTGTATTATATTACATGTTGTGTAAAATTTTTATTACTATAATTATATCATTTAAATACCAATTTATAAAACAGGTTTAAAAAGCAGTTGGCCTACCTGACATAATGATGAAGTTAATCACAAGTATTTGATGTTTTCAATTAAAAAATGCAATTATATTTTGTGTTTAGTTTGTTTTTTTTTTCCAGAAAAAAAATTAAATTTACATTAAATTTTTTAAATTTGTCAAGGTAATTATACAATTTTCTGTAATATGGCTGTTAAGTATAATGGTCGCAAATTTAAAATAGAGCAAAACGAGTAATTAGATAGAATGTCATATACATCTGATATTTGTTTCTATATATTGAAATATAATTCAGTGCTAGTTATTGTTTCTGGGGATAAAATCTTAATAAGATTTATGAAAGAAAATATAAAGTTACAATGTTATTTTATTTTTTGTGTCGTCAGAGATTAAATACACAAGGATGATGTCAATGACTTGTGTGTGTCAACAGTATATAAATAACACATGGGTTTGTGGGTAACAGTAAAAATATCATCCCGAGGAAAATACTGTTACCCGAGGTGTAGCCGAGGGTAACAGTATTTATACGAGGGATGATATTTTTACTGTTACCCACACACCCATGTGTTATTTATTTTATTACCCCAAACAAATACTGTGATGATCTGAATTTGTCAACTGAATCCAACCGTTACAAAAATAAGCCAAGAGAAGCAATAACTAAACTGTCCTTACCTTGCAAGTTTTAAGTGCACTGTAGGCCTACTTGAGAAGCTGTTTTTCTTTTATCCTTTAGGCAAGTGATAATATCTACCAGTCATAAACATAAAATAAGCTGTGTTTTATTCAGAAAACAAAACACTAACCCATTTATAAGGTTATGATCTGTGAAGTCTGATCCTTATGCATCCAGAATATTCTTCGCATGGTTTTTGACAAAGTGCATTTAGAAAATAACGATGATATCATATAGATGTTTGTCCACCAACTCTATCTGTAACGTTTCACTGGTTTAAATTGTCAAATTATCCTTTATTGCATGCTTTAATTGTCTGCATGTTCCAGTTTGACACAAAATTATTTACATTATAATTACTTCCGTTGAAAACGGATGTTTCCTGTTGACTATTCAACAAAAAGATATTTAATACGCGAAAGGGACTCTAGGGTGCAAAGAACTAAATTTTATCAGAGTAATAGTTACTTCGGCGATGCCCTGTCGTCGAAAATAAGAATGAATCGAGAAAAAAAATGGCGGCCATTTTATTTCATTT